CGCATATTCATTCAAAAACATGAAAATTCTTAATGGAGTACCTTCATTTTTTATTGAATTCCTAAAAAACAATATTTATAATGAATTTTAATAATTTTTTCGAATTTTTTTTAAGTTTTATTCTGACCGATTCATCCGATTCTCGATCCGAATCGCCGATTCGTCGATTCGGATCGATTTTTTGGAAGCCCGATCCAGGTCACCGATCCGTTTTTTAAACCATTGGTCACAACCATTCTCGTCTTGTTTTGTAGTTGGAAGTGATTGCATTGCGGTTGCAAGAGCATCATCGAGCAGACAAAGTTTTAAAAAGATAATTGTCAGACTTCAAATCCGTGACTCATCATCCCAAACGATTCAAATCGAGTCAAAATTTGGGGTCCCAAGATTATTTCTATGTAGGTGGGGTTTTATCAAAGGGCGCCATGAGCATCATACTCTCGCAGGCAGGCAGGCAGGATTATAACACCTTTCGCAACTAATTGCCCTTATCTTGCTTGGTGTAGGGTGGATACCCGTAATTTGTAGGAACGCTGCTGCTTGAGCTCTCTAGGGCTTGACCAGAGGAAGCCATGAAAGAAGAAGATCAGGGGAAGAAAGAGGGAGATGGGGGTGCTGTTATGGGGAAGACGAGATACAAGTTTTGGGCCTTGGGCGCCATAATTTTGCTTGCGTTCTGGTCCATTTTTACAGGCTCTGTTACTCTCAAATGGTCGGATGGGAACCTGATGAGGCTCTCAGATGACATGGATTCCCCGATCCATGAAGATCTCGATGTCCTTGTGAGTCCCTCTCTCTGTAAAACCCCTTTGGATTTACATACACCCAAAACCCAGTTGAATTATGCTGTTGATTCTCTCTCTGGTGTGCTCACTTGAATATTGCTGCATTTTCTGTCTCTCCAAGCTGGGAATGATCCAATTGACTATTGATCTGTTTTCTTCACCCAATTGATCTATTCATGTGGGTTTTTCATGCACAGCTCCCTCTAGCGGGAATGAATTAATTGGGCAATTGATTTGGGTTCGTCCTTCTGCCTCCATTTTTTCTCTTGTGAGAATGAACTAATTGGTCCTATTTCCTTAGCTCTTCAAAGTTATATGGATACCTTGGGTCCTCCTCCTTCCCGCCATTGTCTCTCTCTGAATAAGAAGACATTGCCGATAGTTGTTTAGTATCTAAACTGGGTTTTCTGTTGTTTTTGGAATTTGAATTGGGTTTTCTTTTGTTCTTCAAATTCAGGAGCTAGATGAGAGTGTTCTGTTGTTTTTGGAATTTGAATTGGCTTTTCTTTTGTTCTTCAAATTCAGGAGCTAGAGGAGAGAGAGAAGGTGGTGAGGCACATGTGGGATGTGTACACTCACAATAAGCGGGTGAAGCTGCCCCGATTTTGGCAAGAAGCTTTTGAGGCAGCGTATGAGGAGCTCGATAGCGACAGTCCCGGTGTAAAAGAGGTTGCCATATCCGAGATTGCAAAGATGTCCTTTAGGATGATCAGTCTCGACCCACGTCCTCAGAACACTGTATATCTCTCTTTCTATCTCTCTCTCTCTCTCAACATGATAATTGGCTTTCATTTTGTTGACAATCGTATGAGTAAAGGAACCTTGAATTTGCTGTTTGTACTCAGCCGAGTCCTTAACTACTCAGGTGACTTACTTGCCCAAGGATATAATCAGCCCCAACTTTATGGGCGAGACTGAGTAACTCGGGGCCGAATCCAAGAGCACTCGGGAGTATTTGCACAAGATTTTTGTTTTCTTTAGTTATTTGGACGTCCTCAACTCTCTTGTTAATTTTCCTTTGAAATGTTGTTTCCATAATGTTGTATTTTTCTGAAGTCGTCTTGTTAATTGGGTATTTAACAAAGCTCTTTAAATGTTAGTAGCTCAACAATGGCAACTGTGATGAAAATTGCTCATAAATATTTTCATAGAAGTGCGTAGATATGAATTGGAAAGTTAAGACTTAAGCGATGATTTATACTATGTATCTTGCTTGGAGAGAAAGGTTATAAACCTGAGTTCTTCTTACCATGAGTACTCACTCAATTAATAACCCCAGCAATATGTTTCTTTTAGTTTATCTTCAAAATGCTTAAATTTCTAGATATTAGAGAAGAGTCCTGGGTTAAAGGAAGGGGTGATCATAGGATTATATTTTCTAAATGTTCTTGGCTGCAGCTTATGCTTGCACTACTTACATGCAAGTAAAGTATAGAAACTTGATTGTTGTTTGGACTCTGCACGATATATCTGGGAATTAGGGATGGAAAGTGTCACCAATACGTTAGGCCAGTGTCTGAAATAACAGGCTTGGGCTGACTTTTCAGGATCTTGAGCTCGAGTTAGAGTCCAACTCTCCTGAGTCCCAAAGAAAATTATATAAGACTAAAAGACTAAAAGACAACAGGAGTAAAGCAGAATTATTCAACTGCTACTCATTAACATAATCTTTTATGGAAAAAGAACTGAAAACCCAATTCTTAGATGGTGATCTCACCGACGTTTTCCTGCTCCCATGTCTCTTTTTGAAGCATATTCTAGCTCCTAAACTAATTTGAGAAAAATAAGGATAAGCACCATAACAACATTTCTTTGGGGAGGTTGTGCTGGGTTATAAGGAGAAGGATTTGAAGTAGCTCCAGAACCAAAATCTAGAAGCTTTTTTTGTTATCGAAGTCAAACCTTCTTTGTAAGTTCTGAAATGGTGATGCAGCGCTTAGATTCCAAAGAATATAAGAATTTAAAAGAAGTATTCATGAACTGTTTTATGTATCAAAATAAAGGTCTCTGATTTAAAATAATGGAATGTCACTGAGGATTTGAGGGAAGTATTACTACCAGCTCATATAGAGCAGGTCTTCAACAGACTTAAAGTGTAAATAGAAGAGCTAAAGCATAGAATTCGATGTGGACGGTTTCTCCATTCTTTTGTAATTGAATATTGAGGATCTGCCTGCCAATATATAGGTTCATGAGAATAGAAATGAATGCAAATGTTAAAGAAGTTGATCTTTTTTCGCTTATATGAATTACGGATCTTCACTTAACAATAACCTCTGTTGACTTTGTAGACACCTTGAATTTATGCCCTAAATTTTAAATGTTTCTCGCTTGCAAGAATCCGAAGTATTGAGAAGGGGAAGGGAAAGGAAGTTATGGAATGAAAAGGGCCCCTCCTCTCCCTCAAAGTCTAAGAAATGAAGACATGAGACTCTCAATCCAATAGAGACAAACTTAATAGGTTAGAAAAGCTTTGAGGTGTTTCTCATTATTAGCATACTTTGGATCCTTATCGGCATGCCTTGGTGTAGTAGAAAACATCGGTCAGCCTAACATACTAGACCTCAAATCAAATGATCTGGACCTTTAGCAAGTTCCAGGATGTTAGACCTACCTAGACTTGAAAGACATTGATGAGATTGGATGGCCATTGGTAGGATTTTGATGTGCTTCAAAAGTTTGTGATTTCATGGTATCCACATGCAAGATCTCTACTATTCGCCCCCAAATAAATTTGACGATGATGATTAAAGAAAAAGAAAAGAAATGGTGAGTTTTCCTGTTGAAGTTTTATTTTTTTGGAGAAGATTTCCTGATGAAGTTGGCGGCATTGCGGCCTTTGGCATGTCCTCTTGATAATGTTGGCTGCAGAACACAGGGTTTTTGACATAATATTTGCCACCTGATGGAAGTATTATCTATTTAATTATGTGTTAATTTATTTAGTATGTCTTTTCCCTTTGTCTTTTTCTTTCACTTAGTGGTTTTTTCTTTCTTGCTCCAGAAATGGTTCTTTTCTTTTTGGTCTTTTTGTTTTTCCATTATTGAAGAAAATTTCAGATTTTTTTGATTATACTGCAACACATGCTAATAACAAACAGCCATATTTTAGAGGAGATATCCTGTCATGCATATTGTTTTATATGCTTGACAAAAACTAAATTTCAAATGCCTTTGTGAAAATCTACTAATCTACCATGAAATTTAGATACTCCAAAAGGAAAATTATAGAAGCCATCCCTATCTTATCTCTCTGTCTCACTTAAAATCTGGAATAGCTAGCAGATTAACAGTCCTTTTTAGGTACAGGAGGCAATGAAGATGATGCCATGTTATCTATAAAGGGAAGAGAGGAGGGAGTAGACAGTTATTGGGCTAGGGTTGGTTATCCTTACCACTTTTAAGACTGATAACAAAAGAGGCATCAAGAGACGTGAGACCTTTCTCAAGATTGCCTTCCAAGGATATCCTGGGAGATCAGGATTACTAAGCATAGTCACAAGCAGTGTTTTCAGAAACAGGAAGAGGCACCTGGGCAGGGGGTGCCCTGGCCTCCCACATTGAGGGGGTTGAGGAGCTTTTGGCAAAATCCCCTATCTTTCGATTTTTCCTTTAATCATTGGTTACTTGAATAAAAAAATTACCCCATTCTGTAAACTTTTTGCAAAACAACAAACTCGTTTTTAACATTTTGCATCCTGAAAAGAGCATTTTACCATTGCCAATTTGATCTGAGGGGACATTTATTGAAAACTGAAACACAGTGAAATTCAATGGAAAAACTAAGCTCTTTAAAATCCAAATCAGTGAACAGATGACTTGAAGCAAGCCATTGAATCCTATACATCTCAAAAATCCTCTAAGAGGTTTTAAACTTCAGATCCAAATGATTTCTTCAAATATCTTTTACAATCCACCAAGAAAATCATTCAATCGTAGGCTTTAAGGTATTTCTTTTCCTCTCAAAATAGGTTCAGCAAACAATATCAGGTAGGAATACCCCCACCAATGCCTTTCCCCTCCTTAAAAGGGGCATAAAGATATTAGTCTCCCCTAAAAGTCATGGATGGGAACCTAGGGGTGGCAATGGGCCACGTGGCCTGGCCCGGCTCTGAAAAATTAGCACCTGGGCCACATTTTGTGGCCCAAGGGCCAGGCCACGATGGCCTCCGAGGGCCGCCCCAGGGCCCTGGCCAGGACAGTGCCAGCCCAAGTTTAGCCCAGCCCTTTTTCCTTTATATTTCTTTTATTTTTTCCATTTGCCGTGCCTGGCTGATAGGGTCACTGATAGGGTCAAGACCGGGATTGGGCCTGGGCCTGGGCCTCTTTGGCCCTGTCAGGGCCAGAACAGCCCTCTAGGGATCAGGGAAAGGCTAGGGTTGGCCTGGCCCAAGCCTGGCCTGTTGCCAGCCTATTGGCACCTAAGCTCAAGGCACTGGTGTCTCCACCTAGGTATCACCTTGGGCACCTAGGCATCCACCAAAGGGCGGTGAACCTAAAAGCCTAGATGAGGAGCTGGGGCCTTGCCTGCCTCGAAGCGTTGTCCGGGCAGGCCAGCTTTTATTACATTGATACAAGACTAAAAGGAGTCTATGTTCTTGTGATCCCAATTACAGGCTATATTATTAGCCTATAAAGCACCATATTCATCTTCTTGCAATCACATGTTAGATCCAAAATACAAAGATTGGGCAATAGGTCCTTAATTTTTGCAAATACTCCCCACTATCCACAATGGATACTTTTCAGTTTTCTTGGTCATCAGATCACATCCACATAATCTCTCCTTTGATGATAGTTGGCACTGAGCACTTCAAAACGGCTTGGTAAGGATCCACAACCAAAGCACACTTTTTTCATTCCACAAGAATAGTCCATGCTCAAATATCCAATAGGACTTTTTAGGATCATAACTTCATTTCAGTGGTAAGCACGATTAAGCTAAAACCATGATAAAATTAATAATTTTGCATAGGATACCACCAAAAAACCATGCTTCTCGTGTTCCACCATATTCCAAAAACGATCTCTACAAGCAAAATAAGAATGAGGCATTAGCCATTCAAAGCCAAACATATGCAACCCCACATTCCAAGTAGTCAAGCCTAACGTTCAGAGGGCCATTTTTTTTAGAACTGTTAACATTGTAGTATTGAGATAGTAAAAGTTTGCAAAAAGTGTAGGACTGAAAGCACCCTCACTGGGTGTCATTCAGTAAAAGATACATTAGTCGTCCATGTTTAGATAGGCTTATAAGATCCGCCCAAGTAACAAGATATACAATTCGATTTTCAAAAAATAAAAACGGAGTTGTGGCTTGCTCGTTTGGCGGCGGGCTAAGTAGGGCGGCTATGGTCTTGAACAAAAAAAGAGTTGGACCTGGCTTGGTTATCCATTTCGAAGCTAGCTCCCTCCCTCCTTCGCCAATAGGTCTGCGAGATTGTTGGATGTCCTCCACGTATGCTTCCATGAGACGTTTGTACCCCTGCAGATGTGGGTAATTTCATCAAATATAGAAGACAGTTGCCATGGTGGAGGGGACAAGCCTCTCGCCCAAGAGATGGTGTTCAGAGAGTCTCCTTCCACAATCAGGATTGTGCCGTGCCCCAGGATGAGTTGAGGTTTCTCGAGCCCAAAAGTAGAGCCATAGCTTCTGCGTATTGGGAATCATAGGTCCCAAGGTACACAGAGAAGGTGAAAAGGACGTTTCGCTGGCAATCTCAGAAAATACCCCTTGCTCCTGAATGGCTGGGATTACCGAGGGAGCAGCCATCAAAATTAAGCTTGATGCTGCCCGCTGGTGGCGGTTGCCAATTGCTAGCTCTTGAGGGTTTTGAAGGCCTGTGGTTGAGGACATTTTTCCATTGAGAGAGTAGGATGTTCCTAGATAAACCAGAGAAGTCTTGTGATTTGCAGCCCAAAAAGTGATCAGCGAGATAGCCTTGTGGAAGAGAGCTGGTGGTTGTAGTTGAACACCATTGAAAATTCTGTTATTCCTTTCTAACCATAATGTTCAAATAGTAGCAGCCACTGTAGCCTTCCATAAGGATTTTCCAGCCAAGGGCCACTGGGCATCGAAGTTGGAAGAGATCAGAGCCCTGACCGTGGGTGGAATTACCCATTGGATGCCGAAATGTTGAAGCACTTGGGACCAAAGGTCATGGGAAAAAACACAATGAACGAAATGGTGGGGTTTGAATTCCTCCTTGCAGAGACAGAGCACATCTGTTGGCGGTAGAGAAGCCTCTTTTTTGTAATTGGTCTACTATGAGAGCTCTTTGAGAGCAGGGCAATCCAATTAAAGAACTGAATCTTAGGTGGGGCGATGGTGGACCAGACTTTTGACAAGATAGAGGTGGGATTGAGAGGAAAAGTTGGGCTATTAGTCTGTGAATTATGGTTTTCTCTAGCTTGTAGAAAAAACAAATTAGTTAGCAGAAACAAAACCACCATGTTGGATTTGATATACCATATTTCTTTTTTTTTCGATAAGCCAAACTACAAAAGAGAGAGCCTAGGTGAGAGGAGAGCCTATTACTACATATTTTCCTTCACCTTCACATGAAGCTTCAATGCAATGTTATTAAGACCGGACCAGACCACTTTGGACCAAGAACTGGTGAAAAGTGCCCCAACTAGTCAATTCAGGGGTCCCAAACCCTGAACTAGTTGATTCAGACCAGTCAAATTGAATTTGTATGAACTAATAGGTCAAACCAGATTTGACCTTTTTTTTTTTGATGTTTTTTAAGTGGTTTTATAAGACTTGTTTCTAATAAGTATTTGAATTTTTTATTATTTTTCTATTTTTTTTTAGGTTTTCCATTTTTCTCAAATTTTTATTTATTTGTATTTTTAACTTTATTTTTTTAGTTTTTCACCTGTCTAACTGGTGAACCTGTCTGACTGACTGGTGCCCCCACTAGTTTGATTCTTGATACCTGATTGTCCAAAAGAAAATGAAAATCTTTATGCCTAAGCACCCACTGGAATGCATCCAATCCAACCACCACATGATTCTATTATTAGAGAAAGAGGACATTGGTTTAGGAGCTGCAAGATTGTCATGGCATGTGACTTAGGTTCTTGATCGCCTCTAAACTTTCCTTGGCAACGCATTACTGTCACAACCATCAAAAAGATTAGTTCTAAACACTGATAAAAAAAAATGGGAGTAAGTGAAATGAATTTTGTGGGGAAACACACAGAGAGAGAGAGAGGTGGATGTTCCTTTTGGTTGGTTAAATGATGTGGTTTTGTAGTCCTGTGATGTTGTTATGTGGTTCAAGTGCTATGATATCTTGCAGTAACCATGTAACACCGGATTCTACTTGTATATTGATGGTTACCTAGCATGATACTATAATTTCTCTTTTTTTTTAGAGTTACCCATGAATAACACTATGAACTCAACTTCTTGGAGTTGCCTATGCATGATATGATGAAGTCCTCCCTATACGACTAGAATATGAAGAGCTTTTGATCATCACAATGACCATGTTTGTTTCCTGACTACAGTTGATTTATTCTCTTTTTGTAATGTCTAGAACACTCTGCCGAACTTTAACAACATTTTATTTTTCTACTAATAATTGATTTGTCACTCCAAACTATAAAAGATTATTTCATGTGGGCTCAATTTCTTAATGAATCTTTAAAATGATATTAAGCAGGGAGTGACTGAAGCAAGACACAAGGAGATCGAAACCAAAGGGGAGGCATCTCCACGAGAAGAGCATTAGTTACATCAGCAATTGTAAGCGCTTGTTTGTTATTTTAAATTTTGACTTTAATTTGTATCTTGATAAGAAAGCTTATCAATAGATAGTGATTTTCTTTTAGTATTATTCAAAGTGAACTGAAGAAAATAGTATTCTTATTTCAAGTAAATAGTTTTCCCTTGAGTTATTACATGGGCATGGGGTTTTCGGCTTGAATTGGATGGCTGAGATTCTCACTCATTTGAGTGGATGGTCTCGATGGGACCATTGAAATTGTGGATCGTTTGTGCGGTTGGTCCAAATCTAAATCTCCCTTGTAATTTATTTTACAAGTGATTATTTGACAATAGAAGCTGTATCACTTGATCTGAGTGAGTTAATTGGAAGCTAAATGAGCGGATTCTGCATGATCTTTTCTCTATTTAATTTTTTTCATAGATATTGATGAAGTAGATCATAGATGCTGGATTCTATGCCCAAAGGCCAAAGCTTAGTGTGCTTTATTATATGATGATGATATTACAAAAGGGCAAGCTTTCTATACTTCCCGTAATCTATAAAACTTATATACTTTCCCTGCCCAACCGTCAAATTTTGAATGGACATTTCCCAATCACAATATCATGTCTTTACACTTTTTTCTTTTTTTTCTTCTACAAAACATTTTGATACCTACTTTTGGGCATTCACTCCTCTCTTAAATTTGCACCTATAAAAAATATAAAAACAATACTCTCAATAAAATAAAATGATCAAAATGTCTTTAAAAGTTTTAAGGGTATTTTGGTTATTTTATTTTATCGAAAATATTTTTTAAATATTATTTTTAGGTGTGCCCCATTGAGATGATGATACGTATCAAATTGCATATTCATATAATTTATAAAAAAAAATTAAAAATAGAATATCTTGAAGCTTTGGATCTAGATTAAATCGTGGCTCACTTGATCAAAACTGGAGAGCGGGATAGGGGGAAGCATATATCTTTCATTAAGTTGGGTAAGTATAGAAACCTTTTCCCATTGTACAAAACCTCTCTCTCTGTGGATATACTGAAGACCATTGGCACTTTCGTTAGTATGATTTTGAACTTCAACAGAGAACACTTGTATGAGGTGTGATCGGCTGCCATGTTATACTTCACATTATTGTACTCGGATACTCCACAAAAAGATAACTGGGCGGAAGACAACTCATCACACTGTTCGATTCTCAAAAAAAAAAAAAAAAATGAAGAAGAAAAAAGAATACTCATTGGCTTCATATATGAACAAGGTTTAAAAAACTTGATCGGTAACTCGAATAGGTCACACCCATATCCGTGTCGAATCGGTGGAATTGGTGGATCGGATTGGAACTATCGGCAGATTTGATAATTTTTGTTTCAATTTTTTTAAAAAATAATTCAAGAAATTGGTGATTCTACTATTTTGAACCGCCCGAATCCCGGTTTTTGGCCTAATCTGGAGTGTCGTGGGTAATTCCCGATTTAAATCGCCCGATTCTGGATCGGGTAACTGATTTTTTAAACCTTGTATTTTGAATAAACACTGGTTGATCTCATTATTATATTCACGGCAGTACTTGGTGCAGATGTAGTATTTGGCATATCCAGTGTCTCTCTCATCACACTCTTTGGTTAAACATGGATAGCAGATGATGAATATGAGCGCCTCATCCCAACTCATATAGGCATGGAAATTTCTCCTGCACGAGGGACTGGATATTATTATTTGCTATGAATATGGTATCCGGATGCTCTTACCAATCGTCTACGGTCTATGTTTCCATGAGCTATGAAGTCTGAGTAGTTGCTCTAGTCATAAAACACTAAACATAACTAAAGGTATGTTTGATAATTGAGAAAGTTGTTTTCTCTAGATAACTTGTCTGAGAAACCTATCTTCTACTGTCTATGTTTCCATGAGCTAAGTAGAAAACTCTTGCTGGAAGCTGAGAACCGATGTTTGGTAACTTGTCTGTAAAAATCGGAAAAAGCTCGGGCAAGAGATTGGGCAAAGAGAGATTAAGGGGGGAGACAGATCATGAGTTTAAAGAAGTAAAAAAGAGACTAGATGAGTATTTATTTTTTAAAAAATAACAAATTTCCTACTAGAACCTAGTATATCCAGTATGAACCAATCTTTTAGAGAGAGGGAGTACACCTTTTAGAGATGAAGTACATCTTTCCACTATTTATGAAGTTTGAAAGACGAAAATGAGGAGGGGCAAGAAGTCGGGTCAGGTCTGGGTCCAAACCCGAATGCACCGGACCTTGACCTGGACCTGGAACCGAAAATATAGTATGGGATTCAAATTCGGACCCAACCTAAAAGTTCATATATATATATATATATATATATATATATATATTTCATATATTGAGACCTGAAAAATATTACCGGACCCATATCTAGACCCAAAAAATATCGGGTCCAAAATTTAGACCTGGATCGGACCCATCCAGGCCAATTTTTAGACCCATACCCAGGTCTGGGTCCATTGCCACCCCTTTGAAAGAGTGCTGGTTACCTTGCCTTATTTTTAAAAGACAAAAAGGGGGGACGAATTGTGAGAGGAAAAAAAAAAAGGTGAAAGCGAAACAAGGAGAGAGGAAGCTATTTGAAGTGAGACATGAGATCGCAGTTGGCTGCTAGGGCTCCCACTCTACCCTCAATTAACATGTGTAACCCAAATGATTGTATGCTGCTGTGGGATCAAAATGTACATTTGCTCCCTCATGCTAGCTAGGAATATTTTCATAGCTCCAAATTTCAGGACGGGGTTTACTCGATCCAGAAATTATTCTAATTAATAACTTTGTAGGATCCAAAAGTTTGGAGTGCTACGTACTGGATCTAGCCACTGAAAAAAGCCTAAAATAAATAAATAAATAAACCATGATAGCCTTGGGCTTCAAGAAAACGAAAAATAAAAAAATAAAAGTACACCTAAGGATCACATTAAGATCTTTCAATTTTTGGACGGCCTGATGAAATACTCAATATCTTCAAAAAATACACATCTAAGTGATTTTAAAGTGGAATGCAAAACCTCATTTTGAAAAATTCCTCCAAAAAGTAAATTTTGATCCAGGCGAAAATATTTGTTGCTCATGCATTTATCATATTGTGCAATTGCTCCCACGGACGAAGCCTAAGCTCCTAATATTTTTGGGATAACCAAATTTTGGCAATGTAATCTCTAGAACCCAATAATCAACTTCAAAAGAATAAAAAATAAAAAATTGAGTCGCACCCTCCGTATGTTTGAAATACAATAGTTCCTATAATTTTTTTTTTTTTGGTGGGTAGTCTAGTATCCTATAATTGAATAGAAAACGTTCAAATTTTTGACAGCAAAGTAAGTATGCAACAACTCAAAATCTATTTTTATAAAAACAAGCTGATGATACAAAGATAAATTCTAAAATTTCAGATAAAAACCCCCCAAATAGCTCTTTTACCGGAGGGATTTGTTATATAAAATGCTTCAACAGGAGTACGTTATACGGGAAGAGAAACCGGGGTGGATTGGTTAGTGTTTGAGGCTTGCAAGCTTAATTTCTAAAACAAATCTTATTTCCGTGGGTTGAAGCGTGAATCGAGCCTTTCCTACGTAAAAATAAGTTATAAAAAAAAAACCCTGAGAATAGGACCGGGGCGGTGGTGATAGCACAATTGTGCCCAGTATTCAATTCTAGGCCCGGAAAAAAAAAAAAGAACCTTGAAAATAGGGTTGTGGTGATAGCACAATTTGTGCTTTACTAAAGTCTAATCTTCAATTCTTACCTAGTGCATTTAAAAGACAGATTAAAGCTCGTCGTCCCCACTGAATTATCACAAAAAAAAAAAGAAACCTTTATGCACCCCTTTTTGCTAATCCACAAGCACTTATATTTCATCGTTTGGTAAGTTCGATTCGTACACGAGAAAAATACATCGGTGGACCCTCAACCTCTCTCTACCACAGAAGCTGCGCGGCACCGCGTCCAAGGAATTGCACTTTGCCACATTTATTCTTATTTTATGCTTACTTGAAATGCCCAAAGATGTTACAATCTCATAGGAATATAATGTTCATTTATTTCTTTGGATAAAACAAATCTGGGAGATATAACATTTTCAACCCATAGACTAACCTAAGTAGAAAAAACATTTTTGAAATTGAACTATTTATGTACTAGAACAAAAAAATTGTTTCAAGATTATTTTATTTTTAAAAGCATTTATCTAGCGATTTTTAGATAGTCCCTAAAATTAAAATAGAAAAAACTTTCAAGTGCTTCATGTGGGTAATGTCACACCCTTCGAGATAATATCCTACATCTCTTAAAGATAAAAAATACACTTATTGGAAAAATGAGAAAGTTTATATAGAACCGAGGCTCTAAACAATCAATTAGAGCCCACCTAAAAAAATTCACTAGAAGAGGTTGTTTTGATGCTCAAGTATCCTTAAATTGATCATCTCAACATCAAGATGTACGGATACGAGAAAAAAAATGTATTTCAAGTTTTGAAAATAGTGCATCTTGTAATGCATTTTTAGACTGTCAATTTTCAAGTTTTTATAGTTCTGCTTGATATACACTAATTTTGAAGCTTTAAATTTTATAATTAAAGATGAAAATATATTTTAAGGCTATCACAAATATTTCCAATATAGAAACCATATTTCTCAATACTATTTGAATGTGGGTTCTAATTTGATTGTATATAGACAAACTGCACCATTAAAAAAATGTTCCATGTATAAAAAGAACAGTATATAAGGGTTCAAAATTTATTGAGTACAATTATAAAATGCTCTATAGTGTGAGCACCCTAACATAACTATTTATTACCTAGAGGGCCTAGAGATTCTAATTAACATTACAAAAATTAGCAAAATACTTATAATTGATGCATTGTTGAACATTTAATTAATGTCGTTTGTCTTAATTTTAAAAAATCCATCATATGGCACATGATTGTGGGTTGGAATAGTTACAAATATATAAAACATTAAATAGTGAATCTTTCATGGGTGATTCGCTAAATTTCCCCTTAAATTTTGAGGGTTTATTTATTTTAATTCTCACATAGGAAAGCATTTCATGGGTAAGAAACACATGTGCCCCACCAACCATCACATGTCTATCTTTGAGGTGGACATCCAATAAATGTTAAAAATTTTGAAACCGATAGCCCAAAAACAAAAAATTGTATATTATGAGATATTTTTTTTTAGTACAAATATGTCAGATTCACTTTTAGCTATTGAATAAAAAATTCAATAGATGAAAGTGCACCGCAACATTCGATAAATTTCACT